TATATTGGAAATTATGAGAATATAAATTATTAAAATGAAGTTTAAATTATTAGAATGTAAAACTTTTTTAATAATAAATAAGACATACTACATTATTCAAAATATTATTACAGTAGAAAGTAGGTTTAAGCTCAAATAATTTAAAATTTTAATTTCAGAACTTATTCATTCTCTTTATCTTTCGGATTTGTACTATCTAATTTGTGGCTAATAGTTTGTATAAGTTTTTACCAATAAAACTAATACTTTTAGACGTACAAATGAAAAATTAAATTGTTGGAGAAAAAATTCAACTTCAAATGTTGGATCTAAAAAATATTTTTGTAAAATATCTTATTAAAAGGTAAATAGTTTATTTCTTATTGAATAGTTTTTTCTTAGGATTCATAAAATTTGAGAAAAACATAATGGTATTCATGAAGTTCTTTGATAGATAAATTCTGGTATTGACCACCCTAGTTAAAAAAAAAAATACATAATTTCTTAGTTTCCAAATAAGTATCGTTTATAATTTTAATACAAAATTTATTAATTTTATATTCTATTCTGATTTTTTTATTAATTTCAATATGGATAAATATATATAATGATGTTTTAATTTAGTAAATATACAAAATTAAATATATATTTTTTTTAAAAATATTGCACAAACTTAAAGTGAGAACTAAAATGAAAATGATGTAATATTTTGTTAATCAACATCTTGTATGGTACCATAGAAAGACATTATTAAATATAAATCATATAATATTTTGTTACAATAAAACCACTGTTAAGATTTGGCCATTTGGGTACTAATTTTGCATCTAATTAGTCATTTATGAAATGTTCAAAAAAAAAAAAAAATTAGTCATTTATGAAATGTTGTGTAGTAAAATTCTACAACGACCAGAAATAGAATCATGTTGTCTTCTAGTGCATGATATATACTACATTATTTATATATGTGGCTCATATAACAGAGCAACACAACAAATCTTTTCTATGTTTATTTTTTGAGGCCAACCATCTGATCTGGTGCATGTTTATTTTTCGAGGCCAAATCTTAACACAGTGCATGTTTATTTTTCGAGGCCAACCATCTGTAGATAAACCTGCAGTCACAATTTAGAGTTCTAAATCTAATAAATACAATTTGTTTGTTTGTTTGCATCCAAAGGTAATCACCTAGTTAGAAGGATTCCCATGTTTATAACCAGTTTGATAAGTCCATATAGAATTGTGTGAAATCTCATTAAACGGCGTTTTTATAGTGAAGAATCAATACAATTGTCATCTGAGAAACATTGCATTTTTATAGTGATGACATGGAGTTGGACAATCATTTCCTAGCCAGCCGTATTCTCTGTAGTCAACAAATGAGGGGAAAAAATCAATCCCATGTGAGCTTCTTTGATATTAGGTGCTTCATGTAGGTGAAAGATTTACTTACTAATCAATCTTGAAAATGCTCATTAGAGGAAGACAGGAAAAGAGACATGAGTTTTGGTGGATGGTTTTGTGGCTGTTCTCTGGTTGGGTTTAGTGTTTTTTTGAGCCAGTTCCGATGCCATGAGCAAGAAACCATTGAAAACAAACGAATAAAGAAACTGTGGAATTATAACTATTAGATTTGCAGGAATAGAAACATAGAAAAACGTGAACCCATTAGAGATAACAGCAGGCAAAGAGGCATCCTTGTCTATCAATAGCTGATAAATACAAATGCTAAATGATTTCATATGAGTTTTACAAAAAAAAATTAGAAAGAGAAACCGGGTTGTTCGATTATTTGGTTAAGCAAAGTATATATGTACATATTACCCGATAACATTGCATGTTGCTGTCACATGAAATCTAATAGAGGTCTGTACTCCCAGCACCTTCAATACAAAACAAAAATGCCAAAGGAAAACAATAAGCCAGAGTTAAGTTTTTCTCTTAAAAATCTCAGCATCAATCGGCTAATATAATATGATAATAACCTTTAAGATAAATTGTGGTTCCATCTTCCACAGCGTCCTGAGCAACTGAAGCTCCCAAATTCAAGAACAACTGCACCGTCTGTTTTTCTCCGTATATTGCTATGATTATCACTTCATGGTTGAAACACATATTTAGCTAAGCATGTCTATTGAAGCCACAAGCATTAACTCTTTCGAAACACTATCAAATATTTTGATCAAATCCAATAACTAAGGATTGTTACTCTTCAATAGGCTCCAGTAATGGGGGACACTTGGTATACACTCGGACAGCGATATCCTGCTACACCGAGGATGGCCATTTTGAGCAGCGAGATGCAGAGCAGTACCACTGTTTAGGTTATCTGATCTGTGAATCTATCAACCCAAATAATCAAACACAATCACTGTGGCAATCTGTGAGAATAAGATTTTATCAAATGCTTACATTAGCACAAAAAAGTGGGAATCAAAATGACTACCCAATGACCGACCATGTTGGCAAGCTTGCATGAAAGCCAACTGTTTCCGGAATCAAGAGCGTTATTACCTGTCCACGGTAGTTCCAGACATTGATATCAACTCCTGATTCCACCAACAGAGACACTATTAGGATTATCATCATCAATCCATCATTACCAGAAAAGTCAGAACTTTTTGAAATCTCTGAGATCTTACAAACTGGGTTACTTCGTGGTGGCCGGCAGCATAACCAACAAACGCCAAAGGTGGAGTAGCGAGCATCTTCGAGAAATTAAATAGATTTTTTTTTGTTATTCTCCTACTGAAAAAACAATCCCACACTATTTGATTGAGCAGTATTACTGCTTGACATAATATAACAAAATTGGCAAACACCTAAGAAGGTGGAGACAATGTCCAAAAGTAAATTGTACCTTTGTGTTCCTCCGTCTGATGAATAGGCTCTGGTGAAAAATCGTTGACGAACGCGGCAATGGGAGAACTTTCGGTGGCGATGGGAGACTTTCCTTTGGATTTTACTGCCATAGCTTAGCTTGAACTGAGGTTTTTTATTTGTGTTAACCTAAAGATTAAATGCGATTTATATAGGAGGGGAAAGAGGGGAGGTGGATCGAAGCCGTGAAGAAAGTAAAGAGGATAATTGATTTGATCAAGCGGGTGTCGCGGGGTAACGGCGATTTGTAGAGAATTGGAATGGTGACGACGAAGTGGATGAGGAGTCGGGGAAGATCATGGGCTGTAACGAAGTGTATTGACAGCCCACAAAAATAGCTCATATTGTATTCTTTGGCTAAAGCTAAGATGACATGGCAAAATAGGGACACGCGATTGGACGATTTTTTCTGTTGATGTGGACAATCTCAAAGGGCTTGTTTTTCCCCTTTTAATATAGTTAGATCTGGTAAATTTTATTTTCCATATGTAGCATGTAAAAAGTATATATATTTAATGTATACGTAGTTTTCTGACTTCCCGATCCTTTGCTTTCGCTAGATATTTTATCCAATTATATAAAACAACAACTACTACCCATATGAAACAGGCCCTTTTTCTAATGGCAAGCTAATTCAGTTTATAATGAAACAATATATGGGGACCTCATGTATTGTTTATTTCAGTAAATAGACCAAGACGGTGCGATAAGTAAAACAAAATAAGTCATGCCTCCCTCGTTCTACGGTGAGGCATGTTGAAAGGATCCAATAATTAATTATAATAGATGTACCAAATAAATTGAAAACAAAATAAAAAATAATTGACAAAGAAAGATAAACATAGAATTTGATTGGTAACCAAGAAAACATGTGCGTTTATATCGGACGTTTGATTAGTTGATTTAGGGTCCGACTGGTTTCCCCGCTACCACCCGCAAACGCAGCTTTTACGGTTGATGGCGGTTGCTAGCGTTTTGCAACAATCACAAAAATCGCTACAAATCGCTTCAAACCGCTCTCAACCTCTTAAAATCAAAAGCTGGTTTCAGCTAGCGTTTGCGTTTGCGGGCGATTGCGGGTGGGTAAAAAAACTATTTTTCTTTTAAATTTAAATTTAAATTAAAATATAAAAATAAAAATAATATAACT